GCGTGAGATGGTTTCAGCCTCTGGTAGAACAGAGTTATTTTGTATGGCGAACACCAAACTAGATAGAGCGTGAGATGGTTTCAGCCTCTGAAGAGCATAGGGAGACACCCCGATGCTGAGGGAAGGGCAGGTGGACAACAAAAGAAGGAAGAATTCTGGGAGTCATTAGTTCAATGTCCCTTTGTCGAGAGTCCACAATGAGTCGATAACTGCTATAGATTTCGTGCTGGTTATCGCCTTTAAAACAGATAAATACCTTACGGTATAGGTGCTGCGGCCTCCGTCTGACAGATATAGAGACCTCAACTCAGAGAGGGAAGATGCTTGATGCTGATTCTGAAACTGGGAGGTGGTACAGCTGGGATTTGAACCTGAGGCTCCTTGTTCCCCAGTCCAACATTCACACGACCGCATTTTAGCTGCATCTGAGCATCAAAAATGCCGCACTTCCCCGCAGGTCACAACCGTCCCATACCTCAGTCCAATGTCCCTTGTTCTGGAAAGCCTTCCTGCACTTTTTTTTTTTTAATTTCCCACACACTTAGGAGAGAACTGACGAGGCCGTGGGCTCCTCGCGGTCTCAGGTGCGATGTGGCTCAGTGCCCTGGCGCAAAGCAATTTTAAGCTTTAAAAATTTTAACGTGAACTTCTACCCTGGCTGTCATCGTATGGGGTGACATGTTTTGAATTTTTCTACTTGTGGCTAATTTATATGTCTCTATCAGAAAACATATTTGCTACATCAAGCAGTTATCAGATGCCTTTCCCTTTATCTGAGGTGGCGTGCCAAAACACTGCCCCGCAGTCTCATTAATGAGTGATTTTACAAAGTTTATGTCATCTTCGAACTGAATATGGATGGTATAAGGCCTCTGTCGCTTTTGAGCCACGGGTTGTGTTGAAAATAAATTTAAATCTAAAATGGTAGAGAATACTCTTAATTTATTTCTGACTGTCTCCGCGGCCTAAGGCTGGTTATTTTTGATAAGGGTATAATCTGTAAGAGGCCAAATTCCATCATTTTTGTGATGTTTTGTGTTGCTGCGTTCTGCCACCAGGGGACAGTGTCACTCACCAGGTCACATCTTGGGTGCTGAACCTTTCACAGTGTGGGTGAGTGGGATCTCGGTTAGGGAGCAGGAGAGAGAGTTTGCACAATAAATGTGAGAAACTAGCACATACAGCCAGAACTCTGGAGTCCCTGCCGTAGTTGACAAACCCTGGGTTGTGGTCTTGGCTCTGACTCCTGGCTTGGGGACCTTGAACAAGCCTCTTCTCTCGCTGAGCCTTACATGACATGAGGAGTCGAACCAGAATCACTTCAATGTCATTTCTCATTCTAATTCCTTTGGCATCTAAGTCTGTCAAAAAAGCCAGCTAATAGAAAGGTCTTTTGACAGCATTACGTGGAATTCTATTTCGCTTTTTTTTCAACCAAACTGGCGTTTCTGTATATACATGTTCAGTCACTTGTGCCTAATTCTTTCTTTTCCTTGGATAGTTCATTGTACTTCGTTATAAATTGATTCTTGTGTATGGCACGCTTGTCACTTCAAAGGAAACTGGTTGAGAGTTTGCACTCGGCTTACGTCTAAGGCAAAGAGAAATTTATTTCAGCCTCCTTCATTTTCAGCTTTTGAATGTTTCAGCTTTCCTATCTGCAAAGAAGACAATTTCTTCTGAATCTGTGGTTACTGCTAATGGTTCATCAGAAACAACTTATATTATTTATATTCTTTGCCCCTAAGGAAAACTTTTATCCATTTTTAAGAATGAAAATAAAGCTGAGCTTCAGGGAAGGTAAGTTCTTGAAATCTGACTGTTCCCGGATAATGTCAGAATATGATTGCGAGAAAAATGGCATGAAACGTACATTAACATAAATCCGTTAACTGCTCAATTTGATGAGAAATATCACCGTGAAATTCTGCCATTACCGATCCATCCAATATGTTTTTCTATGACATTTTATGGGAATGAATAAATTATCTGAGAATGTGTTTGCATCAAAAACACAGAAGTGTGTAATAAACACATAAATCATTTAAGCATTTTTTTAGCAAGGTACCTGATCCTAAACACGGGCATTCATATTAATTTTTCTTCTTTTGACTTCCTTCTCCATATTGTACCTTAGAGCTCTGGGCGGTAATACAGAACCATCAATTATAGAATTGTAGGAGGATGTAAAGAAAATGATTCTTATTGAAGTTTTCCATGCGCCCTCCTCCCGTCCCCTACAAGCCTCAATGTTTGTGAGCCTTGCGGCCGCTGACATTCCCTCTGCAGTTATGGCCTCAGTTTACATTGGGATCTACTTTTAAAAAAACTGTCATATTTTTGTAACCATATACCAGCCAACACCCCTTATAAAATCGACAGCACTAACTTAGCTCTGAAAAATAAGTCCTCTTTGCTCCCCTTGAGGGGTTGGTTTGCTTTTCGTTTGTTGTGGGCAACGAATATCACGTAAAGAAGCACGATCTCCTTTTTGCTTAGAGTACTGGGAAGCTCAGAGGCAAATTAGCATCTTAATTTTAATAGAATGTAGTGATGCATGCCTTAGGATCCTGGTTTTTATCTGTGACATATAGCCTATCTAGATTTTTTCTATGGTTTTTATTTTCTTCTACTTTACTATGTGAGTTTTTATAACTACTCCCATATCTTTGTGAGGTGAGGAAAAGCGTAGATAAATATAGTGATGGAGAATTGTGATATTGTGATTTATAAGAAGAATATATTTGGTCTTTGTCCTGTTTCTGGAACAGAGCTCTAAAAACCTGGGAATTTCCTAAGTGAGGAGAGCAATAAAGGTGTCTTTTGTTATGTTAATGAGATGACTTTTGGTCTCTAGCAAAGGATGGGGGCTTGTTGCCAAGAGAACCAATCACATGATTAGACGGTTGGAATTTTCAGTCCAACTGAAATGTGGCAATGGGAGAGGAGCTGAAGATGGAGTTCGGTCGCCAATGGCCTACGCTTTAATTAATCTTGTGTGTGTAGTGAAGCCTTCATAAAAAGCCCCAGGGATGGAGTTGGGCGAGCTTCCGGGTTGGGGAACACAGGCAGATTCAGGAAGTATGGAAGCACCACATCCGTCCCCCATACTGTGCCTTATGCATCTCTTCTAATAAACTGGCTCTCTTATAAGCAAGCTGTTTCTGAATTCTGTGAGCTGCTCTAGCAAATTAATTGAGCCCAGCGTGAGGGGGTTGTGGGAACCTCCAATCTACAGCCAGTTGGTCAGAAGCACAGTGACGGACAATCTGGAACTGAGACTGGCATCTGCAGTGGAGGGGTGGGGCAGTCTCGTGGGACCGAGGCCTTCACCTGTGGAATCTGAAGTTATCTCCGGGTAGATGCTGTCAGAATCGAGTAGACGTGTATGGTTCTAAGCTATTGTCTGAGAATTGCTTGGTAGTGATGGGGTGGTGGGGGGAACCACACATTTAAATAAGGATCAGAATGGTCTTAACAGTTAAACAGATATACTATTCGGTAGACTAAGGACCAGAGAAGCTTCTGCAATCGTGTCACGTACATCGAAGTTATTGCCACTTTTCAGGACAAAAGCACTGATATGAGAGCTCCTTCACTTCTGGGGGTGCAGGAATGGAATAGATGGAAGATAGGGATCTGTGAGGCTCTGCAGGGTGGAGACGAGGGACTGGGGGACAGCTGCCGGTCCCGCCTGGCACCATCCTTCTTGCCTCCTGTGAATTGAATAGTCACGCAAGCCCCGCTCCCTTCACATTTTAAAGAGGAGGGAGTTAGGACGCAGGTGGGTTAGGGACCTTACTTAAGGTCACACAGCACAGCCTGGGTTTTAGCTACTCTGCGTGCTCCGCCCACCCCGTTTCCTGTTGTGGATGTCTCTTCTTTGCTCGCCCTACACCTTCTCCATCCCACTCTCCGATCTGGGGGACCAGCCAGTACGGACCACATATGGACTGTCCCGTCCTCTGGTTTCTGGCTGAGTCCAGTTGCTGGGCTGTCCCAGGAGATCAGAGGGAGGTTAGAGAGGCAGGTTGGCCATGTATTCTCATGGCTTCTACCTTGTGAGGTCCCCTCGGGGTGGTGGTGTCCCTCGACCCATGGTCACTGCTCCTCTGAAGGTTGTGTGCTACTTGTGGTTTTCAGTAACTGTCCCCTTGTCTCTTTGGGGCGGGAGGGGGTCATAGCGCCACTGCTTTTAGCCCTGGTTCCTGCTCCATCCCCTGTTCTTCCTTTACGCCCTACATACTTCAGGAAATATTTCCTTTGGAAATATATTTCCTCAAATTTTGCTAATTCGTTGTGGCATCTGTTTCCTGTCAAGACCCTAACTGGTCCACTTTCCCACGGAAAAAAATATAGTGCTAGTAATGTTATAGACTATAACATTAAAAACATAAAAGGTGATTTTGATATATTTAAATTATTGGGGGCTATAAATCACAGGACTGTCATCTTCCCAAATTCACAAGAGAAGGGGACGCAGGAGAAACTAATGAGAAGCTAGAATGGATATGATCCAATTTCGTTTCTTTGGCTGTCCTCCTGTGCTTCTGGCACCACCGAAATTGATTAGTTCCTTTCTGCCTCCTACCTGTAGCTCCCACTCTAAATTGAGTTGCTTTGCCTAAAGCTTTAAAATCTGTTTTCATATTAATTAATCAACATGCTAAAACATTAGGTTTCTTTCTTGTTGTAATTTTACTGGGGGTATGCTTAGAGAAACAACTTAGTTTTATGTGTAATGCAATCCATATGTTTTTAAACAATTTCTTGTCAAACTGCACAACAGAGAATATGAGTTTTCACATCAATTTCTTCATCAATAAGGTAAGGTGATAAAAAGGCACGAACTGTGAGAGTCTTTCTAAAATTAGCTATTTCGTAAGGGGACTTCAATGGATCAGCTTGTTTAAGAAACTCTGTGACCACAAACAAAAATGCAAGATTTGGGGAGCAGAGATGTATATAGTTAGACGTCAAACTTTGTGATTTCACTTTACCTTTCACACGCTGGCTCCCGACGTCCTTGGAAATGGGTTTGTCCACCTGCAGAAGACAAGGGCCACCATTATCTCTTCAGTTGCGACTCTGATACCACCCGATGTCCTACCACTTTGCGTGGTTAGATTCCTAAGGATAGAGACCCAGGTCCCTGTGCTCTTCGTTCTCAGAAATCTCCGTAAGCGTGTGGTCGGCAGTCAGTCAATACGGGAAAAGTGCTTTCCGCTCCGCCCGTGTCGCGAGGAGTTGCCTTGGTGGTATTCGACAGAAAAATACTTGGGTTTGAAATCCCAATCCTGCCTTACTGCTGTGTAACTTTGGGAAGGCGCTTTGCATATCATGAGCCTTAGATTTTTTATGCTTACGATATGCAAAATACTTCATCGGTTCATGTCCTCGAGTTATCATGAAGATCGATACACATGATCGAGTCCCTCGAAAGCATTGGAGTGGGCAGACCAGAGTGCCCCGCCCCGATCATAATGCAACGTGTTCTTGGCGGCAAAGACGCTTTGCATCTCTTCCTCCAGGAAGCCTCCTCAGAAGCCTCTGGCTGGGCCGGGCGGGGCGGCTCGGCACTGTCTCTGCACCCCGGGCTCAGCTCTGCCTGAGCGCCTCCTACTCTACTGGCACTGCCAGGCGGGGCCACTACCTCCTCCGTTAGACCGTGGACACTGGCTCGTCTTTTATCTCCATCGCTGAGTGCAGTGCTTGGGATGCAGTACGTGTTCAATAAATGGGAAAATGGGCAGTGGTTTAATGGTTTAGGACGGTTGTAACCAACCAGAGAGTCTAGATGGAAACTGGCCTTTCTAAGGATTTTTGCAGATCTGTTTCACGGATGGTTTCATCTCAACCTAAACGAGCAGAGCTAATGAGAATCAACTCCTGAGAATGAAGTTATGATAAAAATATAATCTGGTTACCATAAAAACTCGATGATTCAAGCGTTGATTATAAAAATACAACTTTCTCTTTCTCTGAATGGAGGCCAAGTGCTTATTTCATGTGTAAGACAATTTCTCTCCTGGCCAAAACTGTGCTCATGCCTCGCGCACCCTTTTTCTCATATGATTTCACTTGACTTAGGATGTCGAGGTTCTAGTTCCACTTGCGAAGTGGTCTAGCTAAAGGAAGAAATTTATTCTATAACAAAGGTAATCGGAAGGAATATAAAATAATAAGGATGGAGGCTTGAATTCTGGTCTCCATTAAGAAAAATCAAATGAGAATTACCTTGAAAAACTTCTTGTTACGAAGGTGGACTTGTGTGTAATGGGGGGATTAATCAGTGACTTTTAGGGGAAGGAAAGCTTGGTGTTTTAGGTCAGCATTCACTACTCCTTTATAACCGGGCCAGAATTTGTGTCTTCAGCCACTGGTCCAATTGCTCTAAAATTCTTACTGTTTCCTGAATATGCTTTTTGCTCAAGCGATGAGTGCCTTGAAATGTCCTTGTCCCTGTCACACAGCCCCCCGTGGGGCTGTCCCAGTTGCAGATAGTCCCATGAGGACTTTGAATGATAGACTGAAAAAAGGTTCCCCGTGAATAAAAGTCAATCTGGAGAAAGATCAGATCTCTCTTTCTGTCGAATAGCTGTTCATATTTCAAGATTTAGTTTATACAATTGAGTTTATTTGTTCATTTCATCCATTTAACCAATATCTATTGAGAGCTTCATGTGCAAGGGCGCCGTGCTGGGTGCTGGCCAGAAACAGTCCCTGTCCTTGAGGAGATGTCCTCTGTTGGCTGATCGCTTTGTGCCAGGCTCCGTGCTTTGTTATGTATTATCGCGACAGCTAGGAGATTTTACAGCTCAGGCAATAAAGCCTCAGAGAGGTTACGTAACCGGCACAAAGATGCACAGCTCATAAAAGGTGAAGCTGTCAGAACGGGGAATCCAATGCTCACCATGCAGGGTTCTTACTATAAAGACCAACATCATTCATTCATTCTCCCTCTACTTAGAAAGACCTTTCTTGCTTCCCCTACTTTAACGATTTTTGCGAAGCACTTATCGCTGACGTATTGTTTAGCTATCTATTATTTATTTGTTTGTTACCGTCCCATCCCATTAGTAGGTAAGTTTTGTGAGAGCAGGGACTTGCATAGCAGAGCTTATAACTGTGTGTGGTCATGTGCTTCGTGAGCGAATTTGTTGAGCGAATGATTAAAGCGTGCAGCGTGGTATCTGTGTGAAGAGGAAGTGTGTTCAATATTTCATCCCTCTAAAATTGCTCTAAAATTTTGGTGGCCCAATTGCTGGCCCAGTCTCTGATGGATGTGTTCTGTGACAATGACATTGTTTGGTAAAATCTGTAGTTGTCTTTTCTTGTCAATATTAGCAGAAACCCTCAAGTTAAACAAGTAAACAATGTGGAAAAATAATACATAAAGAAGAATGTGCTATAAATATTCAAAAGCATGTTCACACTCACTAATAAGAACATACAAATTAAAAAAAGTGAAATCACTGTTTACAAAAATGATTCAAAAAGTAATAGCCAGTTTTGGTTCTATGAGGTGGACACACTCATATGGGGCTTCTGGGTGGGTAAATTGAAATAATTTTTGAGGAAAGCAATTTCACAATATATATCAAAAAGCCTTTACAATGTTTTTGTTCAATGGTTAAGTAAAATAATTAGAAATTCCATAATGGGCTATGATCTATTTATAAGATTATGCTTATTGATGCTTACCACATGGGAAATAGTTTTATAAACAGAATAAAATGAGAAAGGAAAAGAAACCTGGGTGTCCACCCCACAACAGGTGTGCACGTTGCTTGCACGAAATGTATCTTCATAGAAAACGCTGACAGGAAATGCATTAAAACGCATGGGTGATTAATTTGTATTTTATGCATTTATGCATTAAGAAAATTAAACATTAGCAAAAGTGTTATTAAAAGTAAAATTCTATGTGAGTGTTTAGAGCGTTTACATTTACAAGATATTTCCCAGAGATTATCTCTGTGGTCGCTAGTTGCCTTTGAAGGAAGCATGGCAGAGATTTTTATTTCTGTTTTGTAGATGAGGTCACGGAGAGGCTCGGAAAGGCTGTGTGACTTACATAGCACTGCCCAGCTGGCAGTTGCCAGTGCTGGGCCTGAGATCTGGGCAAAATGATATGTTATTATCAAAGTGACCTCGGTTCGAATTCTGCCTCTGGAGGGCGGAATGAATTTGGATGAGACGTGTGCGAACGCCTGATGCCTGGCTCCGGAAAATCCTCGCAAAGTGTTAGCTCCTCCTTCCACCAGCCACGTCTGCCAGCTCCCCGCACCTCGCTGAACTTGACCGTCTCCTTACGAGGCGCTTGGGGAGTGAGAGACGGGAGAGCTCCTGGCTGTCGGAAGAGTCTGACTCGCGTTTGGTTCACAAGGTCAAGTGTTTACTCACTTCTCCCAGCCTCGTCCATTTGTTCCAGGGTGGCCCCTCCGTGGGGACAGAAGTCTTGGCATCTAAGCAAAGGGGAGTGTCTCCCATAGCCTGGAAATAGCGCGTGTCTGTGAAAAGAGAAAAATTGAAAGTCGTATCTTACGCGGACTCACTTTACAAAATATTCGCATGTCTGCAAACTCATTGAATCACCGCAACGAAAGCACGAGGCAAGCAATTCTATTCCCACTTAACAGGCGAGAAAACCGAGTCTGGAAGAGGAGAAACCAGTCCTCTTGGTCCATACACGTAAATGCCAAAGTCTGGATTTGAACACCCTCATCCACCTGGGGAATTCTGCACCACGTCCTCTGCAAATCTTCCCAGCTCCCACCCTCCCGCACCCAGCCCTGGACCTCCTTTTCATATTATACACTCAAGGTGTTCTATCACGCTTACTGCTGATCTTTCTGCTTCTGCCACTAGATGATGACCCTCCCGAGAACGTGGATTATGCTCTGTTTACCTTCGTGTCTCTTGGTCAATCCTAACATGATCTACGGCACACAGCAGGTACTCAGTAAATGCTTATCGAGTGGATGAACAAAGGAATATCACCCTTATTTACAAGGTGCTTCTCTCCAAAGGAATTTCTGTAGATTCATTTCAGTGGGTCTGGCCCTCGGAAATCACACGTCTTTTTCTCTCCCTACATCTAAGGTTCAGGGAGCTTGCTGAAGCTGCCCAGTGTGCCCCAGTAGGACAAAGCCAGAGGCGGGAGTGAATTTAGGTCTCTGTCATTCTTGAAACGTCGAGCTTTCATGCCATGCTCTAGTGTTACTCGTATGCTGGCTGCCTGCAAAATGAATCAAGCAAGTTAGAAAGTCTCCCTTCCACTCTCTTCCCCTCTATGCAAATTCTGTCTTAACGTTTGCCGTGTCGCCCGCATCCCTGCCCATTCACCGTCTGTCAGGCTCATCGGTTGTTCCTGGGACTCAGGAAGAGCATCGCGACAATAATAACCAACAGCTGCGGGGCTGTGACGTGGCACCGAGCCCTCCTGTTGGAGCTCAACACATGTCATACGTGGCATCTTCCAAAGAACTCTCGGGGCAGGTTCTATTATTATGAACCCCATTTTCAGGTAGGGAAGACGCGTTTTAGAGACTTACTCCAGGTCACACGTCTAGAAAGCTATGGAGGCAGGATTTTAACCTAGAGTTATTTAACCCAGAATCTGCAGCTTTAATTACCGTGCCATACTGCAGCACGGGCGTGCATTTTCAGGGTTCAGACCCCAACTATTACCCGCATATTCGGATTCCCTTATCGGCCTGGCTGGTAGGATTTTCATGGATGGCCACGCCTCTGCCATGTGAAGCTTGAGGTCTTCGTAGCCGTCATCCCTGCAGTCTGTTGCTCTATCCAGGACGGCAGCAAAGTTTCTTTCCTAAGCAGAAAGGGACATTCAAGTGAGCTAAGGGAAGGTTCAATCATGATAAAGGTAACAGGCTCCAGCGCTAGCTAGGGGAATGGTATAGATGCCCTTAGCTGGGAATTAAAGATTTCAGAATCTGGGGTCTGAGGCAGTGAAATTCTTGTGGTAGGCACACTTCTAAAGATGTCCCCAACCTTCCAATCCTTTGTTATTGAATCAGATAATTATCTAGGTGCTGTCGTGAAGGAACACTGCAGATGTGATTAAGATGACTATTACCGTCTTTGAAATCAGATTATTCTGGATTCCGGAGTCGGCCCAGTGTAATCACATAAGCCTTTCAAAGCAGAAAGGGGAGCTATTTGCAGGTGATATGGTCTTGGATATAGGAAATCGCAAGGACCCCAAACAAAAACATTATTAGAACTAATAAACGGTTAAGCCCGGAGGCAGGATACGTGATCGCTATACGTATTTCAGTTGAATTTCTGTGCTGCATCCGTAATGAGCTCTGAGTCTGAACACTGGCCGTGGCAGGACCGGGGACCAGTCCACGACAGATGTGATCGTCATCATTGACATGCTGGAGTCTGCACCCATGCGTCACGTCTGGAGCCAGCATCGTGCCATGTTGTCCTTGATGACCTTTCGTACATCATACAGAACCAAGCGTTTTTCCTTCCTGGATCTCAGAAGGCTCACCTCTTCCTTAGTTGATAGAAATGACTTTTGTCTTTATTTGGGCTCGAGAGAGAATCCAGGCAGCACAGGGCAATCGGGTCAGTATGCGAAAAGTTTTGAAAGGTCTAAGCAGAGTATCATGTGACGCCAAGAGCTCAGGGTGACAGAGGCAGTTCCAAATGAGAGGTGAAGGCGGCCCTGGAATGCTGATTCGGTCTCCGTCTTCTGAACTGTCTCCTTTGAACACCTGCCATAGGATGCGTGTGGCTGCACGTCACACTTCAGGGCGGGGAGGGAGCTGACAACTGGAGAGGGCTGTGACACGTCCCGGCAAAATCTTTCACGTATTAGTTTCTGCTAAGATGCCAAAAGGCCATGGCTACGAATAACAGGCCCGATTACAAGAGATTTTCATGCACGTCCCGCAATTTGACCTTCTAAATGAAGAACTTTTATTCTTCTTTTACAAATTTAGAAACTGGGATTGGTGACTTCTGACAGCCGCACAGGTCATAGGTGCCATCGATGGGGAGAGCCAGGTCTTCCCATACCACTGGCACCCAGTGCCAAGTATTCAAAATTGTCTTGCACCCTGAAAATGCAGGGCAGGGCGCCCGGGCGTTCCTCATGCTGCAGCATCCGTAGCTCTGACTTCTGAGTGGACCATGCGATGGCAGCGGTGGAAGCCTGGGCTGGGACCCCGACGCGTTAGGCTCCTGTGTCACTCTGCAGAGTGCAGCCATGTCCTCTCGATCACTGGACTGCGGAGCACGGGAACCCTTTCTCTGAATTAGGCGGATAGACACGCACACTGTCAATACCGTCACGCACGGTTCCAGAGTGACCTTGGCAACCAGCCATGTCTTAAATGAGACGATGCACGTAGGATTTTGAGCAAAATGCCTGATGGTCAGCACTCAATAAACGTGAGTGGCAGACATCAGTGAGGTTGCTAAGGTAATAGAACTATCAAAGAAAGTCGCAGATTAGGGGAGGCCACCCATCATAGTTTCCTCTCCTCCCAAAGTCCCTCGAACAGTGGTTAAGCACTTTATGTGTGCTAGGTGCTTCGTGTGCTTTATCTCAAAAGGTCTGTGAGGTGATTTTGTCATAGTGGAAGGACTCGGGAATTCTAGCTTTCCATTACCCAATAAAGCATTTGGGCGAGTTGCTCACTAGCCTCCAGCCTGAAAGTGTATGAGGCTTTTCCTATTGTCCCTCTGCCCAAGCAGTCTGATAGAGGTGAAGACCAGTTACGCGATGAGTTCGATTTCTAGGTGGGCCATAGCGCAGGGAGGACTTGCCAGCTCCCCGTCTGAGAACTCTCTGTACGGGCTTTGGGGCTCCGCTTTGGCTTAAAGCGACTCTGCTCATTTGATGCAAGGGTGTAGAAGGCAATTTAATTCTCCGTGGGACAGCAGAAGGAAGGAGGTGGGCTCCCGAAGACAACAATGTTGATTTCCCATGTGTTAGCCTCGATTCCCACCCAAGGGCTCCCTAAGGAAAGCAAGGCTTAAATCCTACATGAACCGAAGGAGCAGGCAAGTTATGAAGTGTAAATTTATCAGATTCCAGGACTTCAGGTGCAAAGGACCAGGGACCAACACAGTGATCCAGGAGCAAGAACAGGGTAGAAGCGGGGAGCTCGGTGGCCCAAAGGAAAAAGCTCAAGTCACTGGGCAGGCAATTGGAGTAGGAGCATTTGCATGGTGGCATTGATGCTGTGGCCCCAGGGACTGGGCACTGCAGCCGCGAAGCCCCGCCCCCTTGGTCTGGCCTCAGGAGGAAAGCAGGGCTCAGACTGGGAGTTCTCAGATGGGAAACCGGGTGACATGAGCCTGCTTGGAGGCGACCTGGTTCCAGGATGGCGCCACCCCATCCTAGATCTAAACTGTGGACCTACTTGATGCCCTCGCCGAGGTTACTCAACCTCCCCTACTAAGTTGCTCAATCAGTAAACTGGAGAGGGCTAAGCCCACCTTCTAAAGTCGTAGCCAGAGATAATTAACTGAGCACAATGTGCATAAAGGTTGTACTTTGGCCTCTGCTCAGGACATGCTAGATCCCTTTGTTCTAATCGACATGCCCAGTTCCAGTGGCGCCCTGTGCCCAAAGAAAAGCTCATGGGAGGTGAACTCCAGGAGGTTTCGCAATTGACCTGGCAGAGGCGGGGAAGGTGACCGGACTGTTCTTCTCTGGAACTGCAGAGAAGTGAGTTCTGAGCGGGACCCCAGGCCTGTGACCGCTTTGGGGGTTTGACAGGCAGACATTGGTGGCGAGGGCACCATTCGTATACTGTTATGGCAAACACCAAGACTCCCCCAGGGCAGACTCTCTGATAAAGCCTTGGACCAGTCGGAGGAGCTGGGAGTGTGAGAACCGCCCATCCTCCGGTTGCCTTGCCAGAGTTCACGGGTACAGGGCGTGGCGGGGCGCCAGGCGGAGCAGTAGCCGCCTGGGCCTGTCTGAAGAGGATCTACATCGGACCCCGGGAATCCTGCCCCCAGGACGCAATATAAGTATTTTGGTTTATTTCTTTCCAGAAAGAGAAAGAGAGTTTTTTTAAAAAAATTATGAGTTACATCTGTTTATCTATTATAACCTATCTACTATTTATCTACTGTTCATCTCAGTAGTTCTTAACTAAAAAAGTCCAGTATTTTCTACTCATAAAACTCGAAATTAATAAAATAGTTTGTGATTGATTGATTGATGTGTATGTGTGTGTGTGTGTGTGTGTGTGTGTGTGTTTGTGTGTGTCCTGGGGTGAAAATGTATAGCTTTAATTAGATTATTAAAAGGTCTTTAAAATAGGAAAGAACCAACAATTTTACAAGCAGATTCATTCTATCTATCTATCTATCTATCTATCTATCTATCTTCTGTCTGTCCATCCATCCATCCAATCTATTCTACTCATCATCTATAGATGTAAGTTAAAACTATTTAAATAATATTCACGTACGATTTAACAATAAAATTATTTATACATATTAGATACCTAATTTCTGTTATAAATTTCCTTTAGCCATTAAAATTCTTTGTAAACATTATTAATGGCTTCATAATACGAATATATCATAATATATTCAACTTTTTCTATTATTGAATAGTGTGATTCCAATGTGTTGCCATTTAAGATACATTATTATAAAATTGAAACGAGTGTGTTTAAATGTTAATCCAAATTTTAGATTAGCTTCTTAGTTTAAATTTCCAATCACAGAATTATTGGGCCAAAGAAAATGGACATTTTTCTCTTTCTTAGTTAATATTACAAAATCGCTTTCTGGAAAGTTCGTTCCACTTAACATAAGTGTTGTAAAGTGCTTTTCTCATCACACACTTGCCAGTACTGCGTGTTGGTATTTTCCCTTATTCAGTCTTTCTGGTGGTCGTGTAAATTAATTCTTATGTCTATTTTTTAGCTGATTAAATTGGGTTATAGTTTTACGACCAGGAATTGAAATCCAATTTCCCCTGCCAGGAAATCTGGCAAAAAATTTTTTTCTTTGTTTTTAATTTACCGAGCACCTGAGAAAAGCCCCTTGTTTTGTAAATATTAAAGACCGAGAAAGTAGTAAAGGAAGTGGCTGACTTACGCATTCCAGGAGAGGCTCATTAATAGTCTGGTGCTGGCCTGCCAACAAAAACAGACCAAAATGTTAATGGGAAACGCGAAAAGACGGGGTCCTTGTTTCTCTCCAGAAACCTTGTGCTCATTCCAATTAATTTTTCTTGACTGTAATTGCTCAAAATGAAGTGAATATTTCTATACTTCTCATCCTGTTTTGCTCTTGCAAAACAGACGCGATGGAGAAGGAGGAAGGAAAATCAAGACCAAAGGAGCAAAGACCCCTATTCCCAGGCCAGGTTAAGTTCTCATCTAAAGAGGAACTTGTTGGAAGACCCCGCCCCCATGTCGATTGCACAGGAAGTAGGAAGTGGTGACTCAGCAGCACTCGGCCAGTGAAGAGGTTTACGTCCCTCTCCCCTTTGGGGCACCACGTCCTGCAGTCACAGTTACGATTCCATACACCCGTCTTCTTGAACAGGCTGCACATAAATATTTTGAGGGCAGGGTCGTGTGTCTTCATTCATCTGGCTCCAGGCATGGCGCTGAGTGTTGACAAGATGAGCTCTATCCAGGCGTTTGTTGACTGAATATCGTTCAGTTGAAGCTTCTTAACACCCCGCTCCCTCACTGGGACTTGTTTTATAAACGACTGCCTGGAGGTGCAGTGTTTTACATTTTACCTTCAGATTATGCAAAACCACCAAAGGACTGCTCACTTGGCCTGCAGGGTTTTTCATTTTCTTTTTCTTTTTTTTTTGGCTTCTTCCTGGAGTTAATTTTCCCAAATTGTACTCCAGTGTCGTGCTGTTAGTTCGCACTGAGGAACATTATAAGCAGAAAATGCTCTTATCACATTCTTTTTATTAGTGCACGTGTGAGAAGTTTCCAGCAGGTCTCGGGGCCAGAAGCTGTGTGCTTCTCCGGGATTGTTTTGTTTTGACTGAATGGGAAACCCCAGTCCCATACGAGATTATTATCTCCTCTCCTCCTTCGGCTGCTGAGAATTTCGGGGCAAGTGTTGGGCTTGCACCCAAGGAGTGTAGAGGAGCCTGGTAAGGTCTGTATTTCTACATCTTGGTCTGGCTTCAGCATTTTCTAAAACGTATCGTTTTACCCTGAATTCTCTTACCATTCCAAAATGTGAAATTCAGAGCTGTGGATCTGTCAGTGTTCCCGTCTTTTGTAGGGTGGAATGTGTAAATTAATGACAATCTGGCTCAGGGGAAACCCTGCCTCTGGAGTGTGCCTGGGACCAGTGTGAGGGGAGGCGTTGCCTAGCTGAAGCTAAGCTCCTTGAGGGGATGAGCTGGGAGAGGCAGAATCCTGTCTGCACCTGCCACCAGTCCCAGCCCACGGGGTGGTGGGACTAGCAGCTCTCACCACCCTGGGGTGCTAATGACACCTTCCTGTCCCAGCACAATTACACCCCTACTGAGATCCCTGGCAGAGAACCCCAGTTTTCTAAGGCCTCAGAGTAGCAATTTGTACTGTCTCATGGATTGAGTTAAAATGATAAGCGCACTCCCTGAACACCAGCTGGCCCAGAAGGAGCACGTGATCACAGATGCGCGGGGGATCTGCTCTGGCCGTGACCTCAGAAAGCAACTCCACTGTCTAATTCAGCGTCATTTCATTTCGGGAGATCGTCCTCAGTGAATGTGGTCATTATGACAGCGCCATCCTGACAGAGAGCCGTGGGCTCTCTCCTCTCAGCAAAGGCCAGCCTTGCTGTCCGGTCCTCTCCTGGGGTCCCCACCTGCGCTGCATGGCACTCTGGGTCTTTGCGTTGACCCCACCTGGAGTCCCTGCCTCCTCGCTCTTCCCCCACCCCTGCTTTGCTTTCCAGACGCTCAGTATCCTTTGAGGTCCTTCTGGAACTTCCCGCTGATGCTCCAGGCTCCTTTCTTATCTCTGAAGTGCTGGAGGATGGTTTTCTGTCTCATCTGCCAGTGACCCTTAAATAGAAACAGGCAGGATCTGATCGCCCGTTTGTTGTGAGCAGTACAGCGTCCATCTTTAGGGAAGGAGTTGTCTTTTCTCTCTGTCTCCCACAGTACCTATCTGTGCGAATAACAAGGCAGAGTTTGGGAAATGTAATTTTAAAAGCACAGTTCTCAACCTGTGAATCGGTTCACGTCATTCACGGCCCGTGAAGTAGGGTCTAGGCCCCTCCTGCATCTCATCTTTCCAGGCTCTTCCTCACGGCTGGACTCCAGCCAGGTGGGCCTCTCTTCCAGTCTGTACAGGACACCAAGCTCCTTCTTCCGCAGAAGCTTTGAATGTGCCGCTCCTCAGCCTTGGACATTTTTTTCTCAGCTCTGCCTTTGCCTGGATCCTTTTCACCCATCAGATGGTGTCTCAAATATCACCGTCCCTGACCACCAGTCTCAGGGAAAAATTAAGGAGCAACCTCTCCAGCCCAGTCCTCACTAGCTCAGGCTTCAGGCATGGCGGCGAGAATGCTCTGTGTTCACCAACCCCATTTCCTCTTCCTGTGGGTGCCCGGATGGCATGCATTTCCCAGCGTCCCTTGCACTGGGCAGCCTCGGCTTGATGCTATGGCCACTGAAACCAGGCGGGTGTGATGGACTCCATTCCTGGCCGGCCCGCTTGACCCTCTGTGCTTTGTTTTTGCCTCACAAGAGACGGAGGACCCCAAGGCCCTCAGAAAGAATGGAAGCCACTGGATAGAAGGCGAGCAAATCCCAAATGTGTTTCTGGACTAAGACCTCCCTCGATCCACATTGGATTGCGATGCAAGCGAGAACTAAAACTTTATTTTATCAAACTGCCAGCGTTTGTAGTTTATGCATCAGAAATGATACCGGCTCTGATTCATACTCCGTCTTTAGCTGCTCTGTAGAACAAAGCAAGCTAGCAAATACATAGTCACAGACTGTGGTACCTGCCTGCCCCCAGGCAGTGGTGAGGTTTCAGGCTCTGGGTCACTTCTGTGACCCAGTGCGTGGTAACTGCCCAATAAGTGACAAGTTGGCTGTGAGTTATAGTGAGGGGTGCAGCGGAGGCACCCCAGAACTGTGAACCAGTGACAGAACTTCAAGCAGAACCTGATTTCCTCCGTTGCCCGGTGAAGTTGAGCTTGACACTTCCTCTTGCTGGGCCCCCGGTCCCCACCAAAGCGGCACGCCCCCCCCCCCCCAAACCCTCCAGGTCTTTGAGTCTTCCTGGAACTGAAAGATAGGTTGGCTTCTCAGGGAGAACCATTTTCTAAAAAGACAAAGGAATTTGCTTTTCACGTCGCCGGCCCTGGAAGAGTTATGCTCATGTCTGTGGAGGGTCGTTCATCACCCACTGACACCAGGCAGCAGTAGAGAACAGCTGACTTCGGTGTGCCCCTCAAGGAAGCGTCTTTTTACAAAAGACGACGTTCCCTTGAACGTTCTTTTTAAGAGGGAAGTGAAGATAAACGTGTCATGTAAAGCTCAGGGGCTTTGCTGGCTGGCAGAAAGCAGCCACCCCAGCTTTGGGCCATCAACTTGGACACCTCTGCTCACGCCCACGGAGGTGTGACAAAGGCGTGTGGCCGATGCCCACCAAGTTAAAGTTTCTCTGATCATGTTCATCGTGGGCACTTAAAAAAAAGGACATAAAGAGAAACTAGGGTCCCAGTGCAAACCGACTTCTCTGTACACAAGCTCTTAGGGTGACAGCCATTCACGCTGTAGTCTGAATTTCTGACTCTGAAGCTACAACTTCTTCCATTAGAAGGTGGGCCATGTCAGATATCACTTAGGTGAAGTTACGGGCTCTCGGACCATCTTTTGCTTGTGAACGCTTCTGGGCACTGGGGCCCCTGGGGTGCGGGCTGGTGGGCGCCTCGTCTACGCCCCTTTCCGTGCCTCTATAGGGACAGGGTAGGTGGCCCAGCCCCATATGCTGTAGTCACATTTGGAAAAAAATTCCCCAGGCAAAACCAAGTTCGTTTTCATGTCTTCGCAAGATTTCAGGGGGAGGGGGATGGGGAGAGAGGACAGGGGACGGCTAGGGTCACCTCCAACTCCAGAGGCTGCCAGCGAGACTTACTCACGAATGTGGGGGGAGAAGCCAGGGGCCGGGGAATCCCAAACGCCCATCGCCGCGTGAGTGCTCCTAGCAAGACGGCCGTGGGTCTCCCCCCGCCCATGTCCCCTTTCTTCTCAGGACTAGACCCCCTGAAGGTTAGCTGGGCGCATGGCTGCCTGGAGTAAGCACTCATTACACGACGTTCTAATCGTCCCCGTAGCCACACGTGGCCATGAGTCCAAGTTTGGGTCGATGCAAGAGGCGGAACGTCAATCCACAATTTCCAGAAAGTTTTTTTAAGAGGAATTGTTGGGCGCCGTTGGTTCCTTTTTCTTTCTTCCGGTTTTCCTGCTGCCTGGAGCACAGATATCATTATTTTGGGCAATGGGATCGAGGCCGATACAAGGGAGGTGGGAGGCAGGAGAATCAGGGGCTCTCCAGCACGACTGCCAAACAGCCTTGGGCTGCTGACCTCTGCGCTTGACTTACATGAGAAGAAAATGAACGTCTGTCACGTTTAAGCCCCAAGATTTCTTTTTAAAAGTGTCTTGCGGCCTTTCATGTTTTATCAGCTTTGGAGTTCACTGGTAGCATAGCGGAACCTCTGATCCAAGGCACAAACGTGTATTTATTTCATGGAAGCTGATTGAAAAGTTCTGGGTTCAAATCCGGGCCCTGTCACTTTCTGGCAATGGGACTTCAGGCAAGCTTGTAAGCCTCGGTTAACTAATATTAACTTGTACAATGGGAAGAATACTATCTACCCCAAAGAGCCGTTGAGAAGTTTTTAAAAACTAACTCCCTAGCTCAGTGCCCCACTAACAACTTGCTGAGTTCTGGGTTTCATTTCTTCTCAAGTTCAACTTTGTGATCGAACCTTTTCACTCAATCCAGACCCATAGTCTCTGTTTTCAGATCCATAGTTGGAACGTGTTCATTATTGAGTGTTCATTTTAAAACATGTGTCCTTTTGAACACTCAACTCTGTTGACACGCACCTGTCACTTCTTCACAGGGGTTCCTTCAGCTGGGCTCCCTTCCGGCTGTGGGGCTCCAGGCTTCAGTGGCCGCCAGCATCTGGTCAACCTTCTCGTTTTAAAGACAAAATATGCCGAGGCCAAAAATGTTTGGCACAGAACACCAAGTGTATCGTGACGGGTTAAGGTTCTGTTCTGCTGAATTCTTTACAAGTTCTCTAGCATCTCTTGGGCTCTGTTCACCTATCCAGTGAATATAATAAATTGCTTCCCCGTGGCTAAGTTACACACATTTATAAAATGCCCAGTACAAACTAGGGCCTTATGTATGTTAACGTCCTTCCATTTTTCTCATTCAGGCCCTGGGGCTCACTGGTGTCATGAGAGAACCAGTATTCAAATTCTGGCCTCTAGACAGGCCCAGGGTTTTCCTCTATGTGTGCTGACTTTCTTAGTTTTTATCTTTTAGGAAATCGGTGGTATTTGGGGACAGAGCATCAGCCTGCCCTTCCTGTCACTAAGATGAGACATAGGATAGTCCACACTCTGTGCCCTGGTGGGTTTCAAACTTCAGACCATCTTGTGCGGCATGGATCTGTGGCTATCGGAAAGGCAGGAGCAAACTTCTTGGGATTGATTTTTACTCTCACTGAGTAAAGGATTATGATGTCCAATGAGCCTTGACGATATGACTTGTATTTGGGAAGAAGAGAAGGAAGAGGGAAGAAAAGAGGGAAGTAGAAAGGAAAAGAAAGAGAAATAGAGGTGGAATATACACGCACATACACACAGGCAGCATGTGTATGCTATATATACCTATCGTATTATATATTATGTATATTCTATCTGTCCTCTCTCTCTCTCCTCTCTCTCTCTCTCTCTCTCTCTCTCTCTCTCTCTCATCTATCTATCTATTATCTAACATCTACCAGCTCAGTCATCTAGCTCTGTTCAGTTTTATTCGCTGAACCACAGGCTCCTCACGTGAAGATTATGAGTTCTACATTTCAAGCACAGGTTGTCCAAATATGCAGAAATAGCCGCATGGAACACATTTTTGGGTGAGCCCGGAGAACAGGTCTTTCCTGGGAAATTCAATTCCCTTCTCTAGCTCCTAATTTCTTCTCCTGTAAAGCATGTTCTTAGAATCTCAGACGAGTTCATTTTCTTATTTAAAAACCTTTGCCCAGAGCTGGTTGTGGCATCTGTCACACAAAGAACTGCCACAGTCGCTTGCATGTGCGGATGGATGAATGAATGAGAGGTGAGAGGTAAGGCAGCTGCCTGCCGTGCCGTGTCTCGGGGGTCTGCAGAAATTCGCAGGGTGCATTCTGAGACAGCCATCGTTCAGATAATAGATGGAAGCTTCTTGGGGGCACAGCCTTGTTTTTTGGCTTCAGCCAGTGATTTTCAAAAGATTGCCTAGAACTACCTGAACTGGAATTACCTTGTTAAAAGTAGAGATCCCTGGCTCTTACTATAGGCCTGTCAACGCATAAACCCTGGGGTGGGCTCAAGAAGATGTGGTTTTAATGGTCGTGATTCGGATAGGCGCTGAATTTTGAAGACAGTTATTAATCCTTGGGTTTACCATTCTTGGATAATTCGAAATCCCGGTTTGTTCTTACAGGAACGGGGTGAACACGTTTGTTTGCTCAGCAGTTCAACGGTCAACTTTTCAATTTGTTTTTTTTTCCACCCATTTCCCCAGCGTCTCAGAGAGCCAGCCTCTGCTTAATCAATGCAGGTGTTGCAAAATCTAGAAAGGGCCAGCAGGGGGCGCCAGCTGCCCACACATTCCGTACCTGCCATCCCTCTAGCTCTGAAATCCATAATAATTTTTCTTTTAAAGGTGGGAAAAATCAACCTTCAAGACTTCTTCTCTTAGAAAACTAACCCTTCCCCCGCAAAGAAAAAACAAGTGTTTCAGGATAAAATGAAATTTCTCGTCTGTGCAATTGAATCAACCAATATATAGACCATTATCTGGATTTTTAATTGTATATGGTGACACGTTCTAAATAGGGCTATCTCATCCAATTTCACTCTTTATTCAGTGGAAGGGGAAAAAACTCCTGAGTTTATTTTACGGAAAATCGTGACACTGTTCTCTGCATATCAGCCTCACAGAAGGTACTGGTATTGACAGATCGTCAGGTTTGAGTACGGAGCTATCTTCTCCTGGTTGGAATATTTTTTTTTTTTGGATATATTGTTTTCAGCATATAAAAATATGTGCTAATAAATACAGATGAGCCAAAGAAAAACCAACATAAAAATCACCAGAATGTCTCCATACCAAGACCATCACCGTAAGTTTCGATTACAGTTAAATCACTCACACGCACACCCACGTGTGATACATGTATGCATGTGTATGTACGCAGGCTCACGCCATGTCACACTGTTTTTTCCCGCCTGCTCTCTCACGGATGTGCATGCTGTAGCGTATTCATGCCAGTGAATCGGCTTCCACATCAGTTTTAATGGCCGCCTAATATTCTCTCATGGACGCCTTGGCGTATTTTCAACGAATCCCGTGGCAAAAAGCTGCGGATGACTTAGTGGTGTCCAGGAGCGTTGTAAGTGTCGCTGTGATGAGCAGCCTCGCGTCAACCATCACGTGCCTCCTTGATCACGTCACGCTGTTAGTCGGGCAGATGCTGGTCGTGGCTGTGAGCTCGCACAGGTGGGCGCTGTGCTTTGCTGCTGGCTGTTTCTGGTCGGGTATAGACACGAGTATGTGGGGCCGGCCTGGGCGGCTGGATCTCGGTGGACTTTTTGGGGGGCTTATTTTGTTTTCTTTTCCCTGTTTGTGTCTCTAGGATGTCGTTAATGAAATGGAACACCTGTTAGTTTTTTTTCTCTCTGTCTTAACAAAGGTGGAGAGCCAGGTTGAAGGAGGAGGGGTTTATAATTCACCAGCCACAGCAACTGCATTCCCAGGCAATGCCCCCCAGGACTCAAAAGCGGATGGCGGGCTGGGCTGAGAGGTGGCAAGCAGGCGGTGGACGTGTACTTGAGACCAAAGAATCTAGTACAATACGGGAGCGTCTGCTTGAGAGAACACAGTTCGGGCCTGGCTGGGAAGCGTGACACAAACTTGTCCTGTAGGGGGATCAGAGCCAGATGCTCTTTCTTATTTAGAGCCATACTTGCAATTTTTATCTTGCTTTTCCGCACTCTCCTCGCTGCTATGTGGGGCAGGCTGGTTAAATGCTCCAGCATGTGCTACGAACAACCTTTTGAATTCGTTTGCTGGTTACCTCACTCCCTATGCTTCGCACACTTCCCCTCGCCCATTTCTCTTTTTCCGTCTCGTTCCGGCCGTCATTTCTAGCCCCCGCTGGTTTTCTAGAGAAATTCTATGGCGCTTTCCCTGAAACGATCATGCTCCAAGATGAACAGCACGTCCCGTTAGTCGCCCTGGAAGGGGCTCCGTCTGAATGTCCAGCATCGAGATGAGAGGCAGGAGAAGCATAAAGTGTGGTTTCTGGCCCATCCACCCACTCAACACAGACTACGCAGGGCGGAGCCGAGCAAGCACCGGTGAGTGGCCACACCACTGGCACGTAGGCGGATTCTACCCATTTTACAGACGAAGGGACCGAGGCCCAGAGGAATCTGTGCTTCATCCCGAGCCGCCCACCTAATGAGTGGAGAGCCAGGATTCGCACCTGGTCTGCCAGCTCCCATCACTCATGGAAGTCGCAGGCCGGGCTGTCCCCTGGGAGAAACCCGAGGGAAAGACCATAAGTAGCCCATGCCATTTCCAACACGTTTTACCAAAGAAAGAAAAGGATAGAAAGAAGGGTCTCACAGCTCCACGCTGACGTTCCCACTGCTCAGGTGACCGAGGGCCCCGCACTCACCTGTGCCACTGTTGATGTGAGGCCATGACCTAGGGAGAGAAGAGAGCCGAGGTGAGTGTCAGCTGCACGTAGTTCACAGACGACCCCGAAAGGCGTGGGTGGTCGTCAAAGGCCATTTCACAGACCAGCCCGCGGAACGGTTGCCTGATGTTTACACTGTTCTAAATACAAAGACCTGAAGTGACATCTCATGACAGAGAATACAGGAAATAGAGGTATGCACGTGGGGGAAGTAACTGTCAACACCACGGTGACATTTTGGCAAATGTCCTTGTCACGCGTGCCCTGTGAATGAGGATGTACGCGTATGTTTCACTATACATGTGCAAACGTAACATAAAAGAAGTGTAGGATCTTGATGTTAAAAACATATATTTTTAATTGTTATTCAAAAACATAGATATCGGCTGTATGATTTTTGGAGGGGGCGTTTAGGTCCTGGCTGGTTTTGACTTTTGTTGATCATGTTGCAACGAGCATCTATGCTTGCGTTTTTAACCTCATTGTGAATATTTCCATGGAGAGATGCCATCAGGTGCAATGAAGGGGTTGGTCACGTGGGCCTTCTGACCCCTGGTTGCCTGTCACCCAGTTGCCTTCTGGAGGAGCTGCATCAATTTATATCCCAAAGCTCAGAGGGGCAGGGACCGTCTCCCTGTGTCTCACGACCATAAATCCGTCCTGTAGACCGACTTTGCCTACTTGGCACCTGATCCCTGATTTTCGGTCTCACTTCCTTGATGGTGAATGAGATGGAGTAATTCTTACTGTTTTTTTTTTTTTTTTTAATGGTTTTGGACCATTGGCATTTTTTCTGTGATAAGCTATCCGTACACGTCTTTGTCATCTCCCGGTGAGGTCCTGCCCGCCCCCCACACTCCTCCCTGGACAATGTGCTTCTGGAAGCACCTTTTCCCCGATGTGGGGCACCGATCTGAAGCCCCAGGCTATGGAACGCTCTGGAAGACGTCGCTTCTCCAGCCGCCTCGTTTGTGCCTTTAAGAACCCCGGCTCTGCCGTCACCTCTCCTCCGAGGCTCTCAGAGTGCGTCACAGGGGCAATTAATTGAGCATCGCAACACATGCCGGGTGTAAATATTTATGAGGCCTGGTTGGTGGCAGGGACACTGGGCGCAGAACAGTTAAGCCGGGAAGTATCAGTAACCAGGAGACCGCAGCCCGCGAGTCCACCTTGCAGCTCAGGCTGCTGCGTTCTGTTCACTGTTGTAATAACACAAGATGACCCCGTAAGCTGGGGTGCTGCCAGTTTACAGGTGAGGAACCAGGGGTCCAGAGAGCCCATAGCCTGCCCAGCTCCACAGAGAGCGAGGGGCTTGACGCCAGCCCGCCTGACCCTGAACCCCGGCCGGCCTAGCCGGGACCTGCAGGCGCTGGCCACTCAGAGCCCTGGCGGTTACCCCCCTGCACCCCTCCCCGCCAGCACCCTTTCCAGTTGCCTGAGATTCTGCAGAAGTTATAAGCGATCAGTGAGAAGGAGCCGGTGGTTGGTTGGAGGCCTGAGACTCTGTCTTGATGCTTTCAACACACACATGGCCTCAGCCCTGAGACGTTGGCCTCTAGGGTCCCCAGATCTGCGGACCGGGGATGATGCGTGTGTGCGCACGACTGTGCAGGGAGCTCCCTGTGGGCGTGGCAGTGACAGCAGGCGGCTCGCAGGCCTGCGCCCCGGTTCCAGGATGCGGGGTGCACTCTCCTAGGGCCCCCGGAGAGAACGTGGGCTTTGAAATTAGGGTTCCATCCTTTTTAAAAGATCTCGGCCTCTCCTGGTTTTTAGGATCGAAGGCCATTAATGCTAGAAAGCCCGTTGGAGGAACTGTCGCCCCATTGTGGCTCCAGGTTCCAGAACTGAGGCCTTTTGGCGCCTGAACCCGGTGGAAGGGGACCCCGAGCGAGGCTGGACTCTGGCTGCCCACTCTCCCTGCTTTGCAGATGCGACTAGAGCTTAGGAAAGAGAGGTGAGCTGCCTGAAGTGGCAGCCGCACTAGGCAGAGCCGGATTTGTTAGGCTCTAAGTCCCTTATTATTTACCAGCCTAGAGCAACAACTCAGTCGGCGAGCTCCGCGTCTGGGAGTCGGCGCTCGTCAGGGCTGTCCGACAGCCGCGGATCTGATCCACTCCGCGCTCCGCGGTGGGGTCCCAGAGCCACGGTGCTCATTCGTATGTCATATCCTCCGGGATCAGGCACCCCAGGGCTCACTGTGCGTCAGTGCAAGCCGAATGAATTAGCAGGGGAGGCCTGGGAGAAGCGGGGAATGGCTTGTTATTCCAGCTGAGCTCGCAAAGTGGGGAGGGAAGAGTGGGAAGCTGAGCCTGTCCCCCACCCCCCCAGGGCCTGGGGAAGGACTGGGTCTGGGGAGGCGTCCCGGACTCCACGGTTGTGTCTGGCTGCCTTGGGGACACTGTCTCCACACCGGCAGCTGACAAGCTCTGTGACAATCTCCCGCGTTGATGCTCTTTGCAGCAGGGTGATTAAAGGAAGACGCTGCTAGCAAACTTCACGGAGATTTGATGTGTTTTCTCTGTGCTCAAGCAAGACCCATGTGTTAGCAAGCTGCCTCTTGCCAGGAAATTACAAGGATGCACCCTGGTTTCCTGTAGCCGACAGCATCAATAACACGGCCACGAGTGAACCGGCCACAGCTGGGTGGGGTCGTATAGCGTGGTGGCCACTCCTCATGCTTCCCATAGCCCCGCTGCCTTGCATATCCGGGCCTGGGCGGGGCAGGGCCTCCTCCGTACCTGCGGCTTGCTGAGGCTGGTGTTCACGTTACTGTAGGGATGGTCACAGAATATGAAACGAACAAGGCTGACTGACCTCCAGAAGCTTGTGGCTTTTAATAGTTAAGCCTCATTGCAAATAAAGGGTTTTAATTTCTGAATTATTATACATATCGAACACTTCTCAGTCATGTAGTATGTCTAATAATTTAAAAGTTTTAAAGGATACTGAATTAGACCTACCCTCCCTCGCCCCTCCCCCCTCGCTGCCTGGGAGAGCTGCCTGAGGTAGGCATGGCGCTGCTGCGTTCTACTTATCCACGGGGACAAAGTTTGGGTGGTGTGTTATTCTGGTCCCATAGAGACGAGACTCGGTCCTGTCTCCAGGGTCAGGCTCCTGTAATGGGGACGAGTTCCTCACTGCCCCCTGAGTGCGGTGCCTGTGGCCCCCACCCACAGTTGGCCCAGAATTCGGCAGCAAAACCTTGGGGAAATGGTCACGGTGATTTCACTCTGCCGGCGCTCTCTTCCTCCCAAACCTCCACGATTAACTGGCTCGGCGCCATCTCTCACTTTAAATTCTGCCCCTGAAATTAGCATCTGTGCTGCCAAGGTGAGCACGACTACCCTGAGATCAAAAGGCTGCTCTAGGATAGAATTCTCTGGCTTTTGGAAGACAAATGATATTTTCAAGAGTCGCCGAAGTCACGTTTAACATAAACGAGAGAGAAACGGAGGCGGATCTGAGGTCTGCGGATCTGTCCCCTCCTTCCCTCTCCTCCGTGACGTGCTCTGCGTCGGGATCTGTGCACGTGACGAGGTTATCTCACCCAGACCTGGCGGCGGTTCTCGGTGGGCGGTGCCTTTAAGTCGGTGTCACGACGTCAGTGCCGAACGGAACCGTGGGTTACGCTTTCACTTTGCAGAGGGGCCGACTGAGGCATGGGGTGATCCCTGGAGGAGCTCATGGTGGCTTTTGACCCCCCTGACCCGTGTGATGGCCAGGCCCACCGTCCTGCCTCTCCGCCTCCGGGAGGGAGGTGGCGTTTGCATAGGGAGCTGTGGGAGGCAAGGGTTGGAAATGCCCAGAGCGAGAGCGAGAGCGAGAGCGCGGGGAGTAGGCGGCGGGAGGGGCTGCCGGCCTGGGGGCAGGGCGGAGCATCCTAAGGCAGCGGATGAAGGATGCTCCGAGCCGCGCCTGTTTCTGAAAATGATGGATTGGAGAGGGAAGGGCTGGGATGTCGCAGTCTAAGGACGACGTCGTGATGGCCCGGGCAGTGGATGTGGCCCCAAAGCCCTCCCCTGACCATCGGCCATCTGTCCACTGGAGCCCACACTCATAAAACCAGAATGGAATCCACAGTGATTCCTCAAACCTCCTCCACCAGCCCCCAGCTCCTAAAAGGGAGACCAGGTACCTAACGCAGTGCCTGGAACATGGCCCGTGCACACAACTGTGCTGTCGGATGAACATGAAGGTCTGAATGACTCAGCGAGTGAATGCTCACGTGCCCAAGGAAGCCCAGACACGCAGCGCAGCCCAAGCCTGGGTCTCCCCACAGCCCGTCCCGCCCCGCCAAGCCCCGGAGTGTCCACACACGGGGGATCTGCTCCACGGGGGCGCGCCCCTCCCCCGCCCGGTAAACACCCTCGGTCCCGGCTCTACGTTGATTTTTCACGGCAAATGCGAGATTGGAGAGCATCTCCCAGCCCTGCAGCCCTTTGAAGCGGATGAAATTCCTGCCGAGGCGTAACTGGGTCAAGGCTCGTATTTCGTGAGCGAGTAAGTGGGTTCGTTCTTTGTCAAAGGAATCCTTGATTAGTTTCAGTGATCTCTTTTCTATTGAATTTTACAAAAAAAATATTTGGGAGTACGTGACTCCCCGAAGGGGTCCTGGGAAAGCCTTTGCTGCCATTCAGAACGGTACAAGCTCGCACCCCAGGCCCCTTTGGCCTCATCCGGTCAGGATCTGACCCGACCAGGGGCCGGGGCCCTCCCCGGCTCTGAGCTCCTGCCGCGCTGGCTCTGATGACATACTTAGGATGGTTAAAGAGTCGTTTATAATTAATTCCTTATTTAAATCTCATCTTTTTAACCTTTCTCATATATATTTTTTTCTTTCCTCAACTAGATTTTAAGTTCTTTGAGGACAGAAAGCCTGTCTTGCGACCTATAATCCCTTTCACATAAGCTGTCTCTGTCCCTGACAAACTGTAAAAGATGACAACAGAAAGACTCGGCATTTGGTGGGTCGTCCAGCAGACCGGTGTGAGCAGCCGAGCAGGACGGTGTGCCATGCCCAGCTGCACACCCCCCTGGCGGGTTGACTCCTGAGTCCCCACCCCCTCACCCTCTCTGACCCCTCCCTACCTGTTCTGTTTCCTACCCCTTCTTTTCCCTGTCCTTCTTCTGTTTAAAGTTCCTTTTATTGCCTCTTTAAGTCTATCTAATACGTGCCGGGCACTGGGAAGGGGACGAGCTAACGGCATCCTAGTGAATCCTAGTGGGTCCTGACTCTGTTCTCCCTCCATCCTCCCCTCCCTCTGGTGTGTTTAATGAGCATCTACCAGGTAACAGCTTCTCGTGGACGAGCACAGGAAAGCTGGCAGACGCCACACTGGGTTCGAAGCATCCCCTGTGGGCCCCATAAGGCTGTCCGCTTGTAAGATCTTCAGGGAGACGCTCCGCTTTCTGCACGGTGCGGGGGGCCGGAGGGAGCGGAGTGATTCTTAACGACCTCTCAGTGCCACGGATTCTCAGGGCAGCTGGGGAACAGGTGGAGAAAACCAGGTAGGTCAAGGGCCGATGAGCAGCAGTAGCCGCCCGTCTTGTCTCTGAGAAGGCCTGGCCTTCATGCACAGAATAGAACAGGGCACTGGGTCCTCCTGGAATCAAGCTTTGTCGCAGGTGCTCGAGGCAGAAGAGACCACGCTGATCCTCAGTGAGGTGGGTCTGGATGTGCGAAGTGTCAGTGATGCGGGTGATAATAGCACTGCCAAGAACGAGGAAGGACAGAGACTTGCACTTGGGATGGGAAGACGCAACTTAGAACCTTGACTCTGTTACTCACTAGAATGTGAACTCGGGCAAGCCCTCCGCCTCCCTGACCCTTAGCCTCCCGCGTGCTCCCCTGGGGCCTGCCTCTGGTTCTGTCACTGCTCACGGCACAGCGTCTTATTTGTTTTTACGTCCCCCGCCCCCAAGCGTAGACTGAGCATCTCGATGGCAGGGTCTGTGTCTTCGTCTCTGATTTTCCCAGTCCCCAGTGCAGTCACCTCTCCCAGGTGGGGGAATGTTCTCTTCTATCCCCCCCCACCCTCTCACATGGGTCCCCATTTTCTGTCTTCTCTCCATCCCATTTACTGTGACATACAGGGCAGGGGCTGAGTGAGCGCCGGGGCCAGCGGCCTCTCACTCTAAGCTCCAAAGCTTGCATTCTTGGGAATGGTCAACGTTCTCAAACTTGGACGGCATCAGAATCACCAGGGGCGCTTAGTTAAGCCCCAATGCCTGGGCTCCGACACTTGAGTTGCTGATTCAGTAGGCGCGGCCTGAGAATCTGCATTTTTAAGAAAGTTCCAGATGATTCTGATGCTGCTGGTCCAGGGACCACACTCTGGGAAACTCCACTATGCTTCTCTGGAGCATGATGCTCATGTCCCTTCTCCAGGGTGGAGGGTCCAGACACGAGCAGGGTCAAGACTCACAGGACTAGAAAGCGAAAGTCACATGAACATATCAACGCAGAAGAAAGTTACGATAACTGAGAACCCAGAAATCGTGATCTAACTCGATCCGGGTTGGGCTCCACCCAAATCCCGCCGGACCAGTTAGTCGCTCTGGGGGCGAGACCCAAATGTACACCCTCTCTCAGGCTCTCTCTCCCCGTCTGTAAAGCGGGAGTAACACCCACTGCAGCACCACAGCGAGGGTTAAATGTTGACGTCCCTTTCACGGCGTCTGGCACGCATTAGGTGTTCGGCGGCTGATTCGGGTTTGAACTTGATCGGAAAACATCGATCAGCACGTTGCTGTTCCTCCCCACGTGGGGAAACGGTACCGAAGAGAAGTGGTACCGGGGCTTTCGGCAGAGGAGTTCCACGGGACGTTCCAGGGCACGTTCACGTCAATACTGTGGACAGGTCGTGGGTAATGGATGCAGTTCCATAGTGATCGTGTGGTTTTATGGGATAATGTCCTGGGCCGTATCATCCAGGCGGGGCCCCAGCACGCAGCTCAGTATTTTACTTTGTCTGTGACCGGGACGTCCATGCGTGTTGGGTTTGGGGGGGCGGTGGGCGTGGCCAGCCCTCTGTGCCCCTCGGGAGAGCTGACTCCTGCACCCAACAAAGGGGCGGCCGTGGCGAGGGCATCGGCATGGAGCGCCGGGTGGCTTTAGGTGTCAGTGGCAAGATTTAGCACACCACGACCCACGACTGAGCCTTGGGGACGTCAACTGCCCTCTCCAAACTGTGTCCTTCTCTGCCATGAAAGGGAAACTTAACCGTGGGGTTGATGGGACCCCGCGAGATGCCAGCCGTACGCTCTTAACAGCAGTGCCTAGGTGTGTGGACCTGGAGCCCGGGATCCTTGTTGTTTATTGAGAAACTACGACCTTCCGGGCACACCGCAGAGGCCCCTCATCTGGGCTCCAAACACAGGAACTGCTGTAGGTGCAGGGGACCAATGGTGAACAAATATTCTCTAAAATACACGAGACGCTGAAATGGCCTTGCTGGTGCGAGCGGGGCCGCTCAGCTAGTGAGCAGGTCGGCGGGCGTGGAAACCCAGCCCCGAGGATGTGTCCTACTCCGTGACACCCCGACCTTCGTCGTCAGCAGACGCCGAGAACGATAACTTGTATGGAAGATGAGCACGTCGGTTTAATAGTTATTAAAGGAAGACAGTAGACCCAAATATCTAGACTTCAGACATTTTGATTTGATTTATAGATCTCGAATACTACCATATTCATATAATTCTTTCGTTATAAAATATGCAGTGGTACAGGGATTTGTATGGAGATGAGAATTCTTTTTAAAAATGTGGGTTTATAAATGGTTTAGAACAGGTTGCAGAAACATCGTCCGTTGCTCTTTTGAATGTATCTCGAGCATGCTATGACACAGCCTGAAATCATTTACTTCAGAATAAAAGCACTTCTCTCTCTTTCTTCCCCCCAAATGTAAGTGTATGTATTGCTTTGATGTATGTAATTGCTGCAACCATCTCTGTTGGAAGGAAGGCTTCTAACCCTTCCGTCTCCCATCTCTCGCTATTGTCAAGAAACAAGAAAAATGAACTCCAAGTGCATTACTTAAATGTAGCGTAAACATCGACGAAGTCTGAGAACGGTCACAAATTTCCTTTTGCTTAATGTGGTCCTGAAAATATTTCAAGAGTTCTGTTTTGCAGGCATTCGTTCACTTCGCTATGGGAAAAATGTATCTTCGAGCCAATCTCGGGGTCTCAGGAATGCTCCCTGTGTCTGGCGCATAGTAGGAACTGAACGAGTGTTTGGTGACTGGCTTGAGTTGAAGTAGATTGGAATGTGGGGACTGGCATAACACAGAGAGAGATCCTCGGGTGCCCCTGGACACAGAGAACGCTCCGGCAGGGCCTGGGGAGGGGGAGCCCTGCAACCCCCCTGGGCATGGGAGCGTGGCCCGGAGCCAGACAGCTGGTCCACGGCGGAGCTAGATTTGATGTCGGAATCCGTCTCTTGTCAGTGGTTTTAGCCCCTTGGCCTCCGTTCTGAGGGTCGAGTTGGCTGAAGCCAGGACTTTGCCTTCTGAGTCTGCATTTTCAGTAGCCTGTGCCAGTCTTCAGGACATAATTGCTCAGTAAATGTCCTTCTCAGTTGAAGGACAAAGAAAGGAATCCATACAGCAGGTGGGTCCCTCTAGTCTCCTTGCGTGAGATCGGATGGTAGACTCGAGGCCTGACCCATCCATACTCCGTCACCTAAATCATTCACCCACTGAACCACGGAGGCTTCTCTCCCAGTGGCTGTCTCTTGGGCTGTTTAGACACCGGAGTGGGTGGTGGAAATAGCCCTGGTCTGAGGCGCTGTGGACGTCAGGAGCGTCTCAGCCCATACCTGCATCACACTGGGGCTAGAGGGTCAACCTCGTCAAGTCCCTTCTCCTTCTGGACCTTGGTCTCCACATAACCGCTAAGATCACTACCAGAGAGAGAGAGAGAGATAGGAGAGAGAGACAGAGAGAGAGAGAGAGAGGCAGGAGAGGAGAAAGAGAGAGAGAGAGAGAGAGAGAGAGAAATAGAGAGAGAGAGAGAGAGAGTGTGTGTGTGTGTGTGACGGTCAGCTTATTTGCCACAGAATCAAACTTTTCACTCCTCTATTAATAAACAAAATATTCTCACCTGTTTTTCGGCAGAGAGAAGTTCTGGAATTTCAAGTCGCTGGGTCCTTCTTTGGTTGTCCTTCTATTGCCCCTGGGAAGAAAGAAAACAGAGTATAGTCAGGAAGGAGTAAGAAGCTGGGGGTGGGGGTGGGGGGGGGGGAAGGCATTGCTTTCCTTCTTAGAAACAACCACCCGGTCAGATTTTAGGAATTAATGTCTCACATGTATTTCCAAATCTCTCTTAGCATTTCTATTAGGGTTTTAAAAAAAATCCACATTTTAAATAATTTAATTACTTTAAATTACTATTATTTTTTTAATGTAAGAGTTTACTTCACGGGGGGCAGTAGCGGGGGATGGGAGAAACTCCTCGGGGAGGACGAGGACGTGATGTGCCCCTCGCACGTCAGCAGGGCCCCCGTGGGACACTCCTTCACCTCTGAGTCTCGGTGACGGTGCTCTGCGCAACGAAGAGCATCATACCTTCACTACATGGTTGACGGGAGGCTGTCCAACAGTGCCCGTGGGCCAAGGCTTGTTCTAGATGCTTTCCTATGCTAGTCGAATTTGACCCCAAACTGGCAAACGTCATCTGGGGTAGGAAGGCAGACTATTTAACGACAGCCACTCGGATTCAGATAATACGTACTTAACTCCTATGTAATTCAGGCACTTTGCCATATGGCGTTTTCTGTGAAGAGATTGAATTATTTTAAATTGAGTTTACTTGTTAAAATTCATTGAGGTGTACATGATCGTGGACCGTCACTATTACGCACCTTAGTTCATTTAATTAGCCAAGCAGAATACACTTTCTTTTCTTTCGTCGGCGTTTTATGGGCTTTACCCGCCACTTACTGAGGGAGCCTCCTCCCTCGTGTGTCTTGATGGCCGCCTGCTCAGCGCCTCAGACACACCGTCCTCCAGGCTCTCGCCGCCTGGGCCAAACTTGCTGCTTCTTGGCCCTTGGACTTTCTTTGTTCACCCCTTCTTTCAGGCACTGTCCCCCTTTTCTGAAACGCCACTGTCTTCCTTCTCATCCTTTACTCTAGCTCGGGCTCTGAGCTCGGGCAGGCGGCCCTTCCTTAGCGAGACCTCCCCTGACCTCTGGGACCGGCTCCTTCACAGCATTTGTCTGAGCTGCGATTTTGCTTTTGTTCTAACTTGGAACTTGTTTGATAAACCTGCCAATGTGCCATCTCTGTGAGGGCAGGGATCGCGGGCCTTGGCCTCCGCGGGGCTGGGTCGGCGCCTGGCCCGCGGTGGGCCCTCGGTGGACTCGCGTGGATGTACACGCCAATAAAGGGCTCCGGGAACTGCCCGACGATGACCTATGATCCCTCCTCCATCCGGGACTGTGTGTGCAGCCAATCAACGCGGTGTGTGGAAAACGGAGCGAGTTGTTTGCATGTGTTTGGTCACTGTGTTCATTGAGCATCTAGAAGGACGATGGCATTATTTTGTTTTTTTTTTTCATTTTATTCTTCAATTTTTTCATAATTTCAAATGATTAAATTATTTCAGAGAGTTCGTTATTTCATTGTTGTTTTTCCTGTCCGGCTAGAATTTGACTCGTAAGCCTGTATCTGCACTCCGATTTCTCCCCTAAGTTCTAGATATGAACATCTCCCTATTTTCTGGGCCTTTCTGATAGGTTATCCTCCCTCAAACCCAGACCTTTTCTCCGGCAAGTGGCCCCACTGCCCGCTTAGTTTCCAGACCAGCAGCCTGGTCAGCTTCCCTATTCATCATCGCCGTCTGGCTAATTTGTTACCGGATCCTGACAAGCGACCCCTAAGAGTCTCTCTTTCTGCCCGCCCCGCGCCCCCACTCCCGGAAGCGGTACTCCAGCTTGGCATCGGCCCCCTCCTTGTTTTTCAGGCCCCCTGGATGCCATTCCACCCGCCAACGTGCAGCAAGTACCCCTTTCTAGTTAAGCCGATTCCAGAGCAGCCTGTCGATCACCCCCCTCAGCCACTTCAGGCACTTCGAACTCATTTTCGAATCCAGTACTTCCAAAACCTTAGCGTTATGTCATCGGCCTTAATTCTAGAAGTTTCTTCCTGTGCACCATGAATGCCTTTGAATGTTCTAGTAAACTACTGCGTGACCTATAGGTTCAGCGCAGGTCACATCTCTCCATGTGATACGATCTCTTTGACCAATTCGGTTTTTGTCACTCCACCTCCAGGTGCAAGAATGTTGAAAATATCGACACCATCACCTGCTGCTTCTCCGGTGTGATCGCTGGGTTTACCGTAGAGCCTTGACGTGCTTCTGGAGAAATAAGCCGTCTACCTTTTCTCAGCTTCTGGGAGATGAACGCCAGAGAATGGCCTTGGTTTTTGACAGTAGGAAGAGTCACTGTTCAAAGCGTGGTGGCCCTTCTAACTGTTTTAAAGGGTCTCCTGAGATCCTTGTTTGAGTCCAGCTTAGACATGCGACACCGTATCCATTTGCACGGTCCTCCGAGAGCCGCGGCTGCCATTCTGCCCTCTGTCCCTCTTGCTTCGTGGTCGTGTCACCATGGACCTTATTCAGGCATCTGTAAGATTCCTTTTCTTACAACCCATGAAACTTTCTACTTTCATAAAGAGTCCATGGAATTTTTTTTCCCCTTATGAATCTGTGGGATTTTCTTCTCCCTAATACGATCGATCAATTCTTCTGTGAGGATCAATTCTGTTCTCTGAGTTTCTGTTACATGCCCTCAGAAGGACAAGAAGACGTTGCTATTTAAGCATTTTTAGTGATGTCACATTACCTTTTGTTTCTCCCTTAAATATGGTGTTGTGCTGTATTAGCCATCTATTGCCGTGTGTCAATATTATCACAAACTGAGCAGCTTAAGCAACATACGTTTATTACCTTATAGTTTTTGTGGGTCGGGAATTTAAGGAAAGCTTCCCTGGTTTCTCCGTTGAGGCTGCAGTAGAGGTGTCAGCCAAGGCTGAGGTCTTATCTCAAAGCTCACCTGCTTCTAAGTTCACATCATTGTTGGCAGGATTCAGATTCTTAGGGCCCGTCGGACCAAGAGCCTCCGTCCCTTGATGTCTGTAGGCCGGAAGCTGCCCCCCGTTCCTTGTCATGTGTGCGTCCCCTAAAACGGCCACTTGCTTCATCAAAATGTGCAAACCAAAGAGACGAGAGGGAAGTTTGCAATCTTAGGTAACGCAGTCACGGGAATGACATCCCGTATTGTTTAGAAGCCGTCGCAGGCTCACTCACAGTGAAGGGAGGGACGTGAGCCCCAGGAGATGAGATAATCGAGTGTCCGTCTGCCACACACGCTGCTTACTCAGTGTGGAAGCGTGAGCAGAGATGGCACTTAAGTAACATCCGGAAGGATTTTTTTTTTGCAAATCTACAAACCAAATCAGCTAGACTCTTTCTGCAGCCAATTTTTTAACCTTCCATGACTCCTGAAAATGTCAGAGCAATTTTCAAAAGTTTTTTAGCTCATTCCAGAAGACTCCGGCAAATTCCAGAATAATCTGGTTCTCCACCTCTTCGCTCTTGCGTGTGACAGGCCGCTCTAATTATTTTTGCAGCAGAATGCTGTACTCCGACCTGCCTTAAAATAGCACATCGGCCGTCTCAAACAGCTTCCCATTTCGCTCTTTCCAGTTGGTCCTTAAGCTGCATGGGTGGTGCGTGCAAACTTCTTTCCAGTTGTATATTCCTATACACAGCTTCTTCTAAACCTGGGAGCGTAGCCCTGCCCCTGAGCACCAGAGCAAGGCCCAGTTCTGTTGGGGATTTGACGCGCTGTAGCTTGGTGCTAGACACCTTTTATGTATATATTGCTGAACTCAGAAAAATTCAAGGGCACACCCAGGCTCCTTGCCACTGGATTGTTTTAAAGTTTGAATTTGAGTATATTTACATAAGGCCTATTTGCTCAGGCTCATAAAGCCTCGCTACGCACTCCCTACTATCTTACATTTTTATATTAGGTGACTGGCCCCTGACCCCGGCCGGTGACCCTTCCTAGAGGAACTTGAGAAGAATGGCCACTCAGTAATGAGTTGACCACAATGAGATCTTTTATTTTCTGTCCCTCACCTATTCGTACCCTGTGATGGCTGATCTTCTGTGTCATCTTGGCTAGGCGATGGTGCCCAGGTGTTTTGGGTGACAGCCCTGCTTCCCAGGCCCCCAAACCCCTTCTGGGCTCCCCTCATCCTCCAGCCTCTTAAATAGCCCCTGAAAGGCTGACTCTGGTCATGGGAACCAAGCGCTCTCAGACTCAAGTCCTTTATTGAACTGAATTGGAACTGGGAAGCAGAGCCTGGTGCCATCTTCAAGGCAAATAGTTACCGAGTAGCTGCTGTGTGCTGGGTATTGTGTTAGGACTGGGGATGCAGGTGGACAAGATGTAAGCGGTGCTCCGGTCCTCCCTGCACAAAGCTGGCAGCCACGTGAGAGGGAGCCAAGCCGGTGAGCGAGGAGCTCATCCCCAGTGTCACAGCTTTCCCCCCACAGCTTCCTACCTTCCTTTGCTCCCGACTTGAATGGCTACCTGGCTGCAGGACAGCCCACCTGGCTGTGTCTTGACTTTCCCTGTGGGCACAGCTCTGACAGCTGCCCGGGGGACTTAACACCTGTCCAGGATGTAGCCCCTCCCTGAACCTCCTTCCGGCCCCTGGGATCCCTCCTCCAGCTTTCCTGACTTGGAGAGAGGCTCTAGCTCTCTGTTGAGATGAATCAGGCTTCGGTTTTCAGGGACCGCCACCTGCGTGGCCATCATTGGTGTGTGCAGGTGCCACCTGAGCCGCTGTCATTCACCTCACACAGAACAGCAGCAGAGGAAATGTTTGTGCACGAGAAGATTCCGAGATGGAGGCAGGACTCTCTTCAGGGCGTTACTAACTCTTGTTTATTAAGGCAGAAGATGGATCCAGAATGTGCTAGAATAGACCGGCTCTGCCTACGGGTTGCAGAGGCAGAGCGGAAGGCGGTGTCTGAATTTAGCTCCTTCCTTTCTCAGAATTAGAGTTTTAAAGTTTCTCAGAGCACACGGCTCGGTGGAAAGGTCGATGTCATCTGCTCACACCTGTCAGTTGTACAGCTGAGAACACGCGGGCCCAG